CCAACCCCAATTAAACACACCTGAACCAGCTAATCAAGCTCTTACTAGGCATACTAGAAACTTGAAGGCAGGTGTGTTGAGGCAAGTTGGAGCTAAACTCTGCAGGACACCGGCCCTCCAGGACCGAGTTTGGACACCCCTGCTTTAGGATATACTGAGATTCCTATAGTCCAGGGTTCCTCAAATCTTGCCCTGGAGGGCCAATGCGCTGCAGAGTTTAGCTCCAACCCTGATCAATCTCCCCTACCTGTGATTTTCTAATGATCCTGAAGACATTGATTAGCATGCTCAGGTGTGTTTGATTAAGGTTAGAGCTAAACTCTGCAGGAAAGTGGATCTCGTGGGCCAGATTTGAGGATCCCTGCTATAGTCTATCTTTGGGTCATGCAATGCTGATTAAAGTTTGAATATGTAAACATTTTACTCAAAAACTGCAACTGGAATATTAAATAATAGTTCGTTTAAAGCGTCCTAAGCATTCTTACGTGGATTACAACAGTAAACACGTGCTGAATAATAAATAGCTAAACTGATTTAGATATTCATTCTTTACACGCGTCATTTAGCGCCCTCTCTGGATGAGTTGGGAATTGCAACGCCGCAACCCACCGGTTTATTGTAGGCTGACCATATAAAGATTATAATTACTTATCATCTTGAATTTTGATTGAGAAAATAATACGTGTGGCCTGCATGCCATACCGTTGATTAAACATAATGAGGCATAATTAGTAAAAGTCTGCACGGCTTTCGTAGAGCACGAGGATTATCATTTGATCAAGCAATGCGGAAGTATTAATCTGAACACTGAAAGTGAAAGAAATGTGTGAAAAATTGCATTGAAGCACATTGTGAATCACACATAATTTGAATTCTATCACCACACAGGTTGAATTCCATAAAGTATAAATAAATAAACAAACAAACACTTTTTGTGCGTAAAGCCATTCACACCGCATCAAAGAGGCTTCCATACAGATTCTGGATTATTAAACCATAACTCCACTGGGGAAAAAAATACATGTATTCGGATAAATAATTCATTAACATCAAAAACATTACAAAGCAGATATATGTTCAACATACTTACCTTTGTGGTGGTTTCGTGCCGCCGCTCTGCTGACTATAGGCTGATTGCGATGAGAAAGCACTACCATAGATGGCTTTGTGTGT